ATTTATATAGTTGATACAATTCAGATCATCTTCAAAACTCCGTCCCATGTCCAGGGACGTATCTAAGCCTTTTGGGGTCCGAGGCAAAATAGACCCCCTGCCAGGTATTTTAGGTGGAAGTGCTATCTGTTTTATATTAGACTTTTTTTATTTGCAATAATGTCCAAAAGTGAAGAATTTACGTTATTTATTACTTGATTGTTTAAGCTACCTCACAGAAGTGATCTGTTGTTAAACATTCAAACAAAAAGGTAATTAAATAAAAATAAGGAACATTCTGGAACTGTTTCTTCCTTTTCTTTATTTTTTTTAATGTATCGAAAGTATCGGATCAGGACTCGGTATCAGCAGATTCTCAAAATCAAATGACTCGGACTCGGACTCGAGGGCAAAAAAACCTGATCGGGACATCCCTAGTGGAAGCGATGCCAAGGATGCCCTCCAACTCTGGGAGGAAACCAGAAACTCACTGGTTTCTCCAGCTGATGGAGATCCTGGAGCAGAGATCATCTTTAGTTAATCTAAAGCTCGTGTTTAAGGAAAGACTTTCATATCATTACCTGAATAAACTGATCTTTATTTTCCTCGTAACCACGAGGAGGTTATCGTGCAAAAATTATCTAAACGTTTGTAGCTCAGTGACGGGAAGTCAAGTCGTGCACATGAAGCTGTTTGTTGTAATTTCAGAAGCATTAGTGGGTATTGCCGGAAGACAAACTTTTCTAGGTTAAAATAACAAAAATATTAATCTCTCCCAAAAATAAGCTTTAATTAAAAAAACTATCATAGCTTTTTCTACCCAAATGATGTCCTCTTTCAGCGTCCATACTTTTTACAAGCCTCTGTTAAATTTCTATTAAAGTTCAAGTGTTTGGAAGCCTTCTCTCGACCTACAGACCTTTTTATCTAAAAAAAAAAAACAATAAATAAAAGCATGTATGGCTCTCACCTTCTCACTTCTTTATCTTTTCAACATGTGGTGGTTTCCTGTGGCGAATCCCTCCAAACAGCTGAGTGTTTGTGTCATTAATGTGCAGATGGGTCCACCAGGAACAGAATGCCCACTGCTTGTTTTACGTAAAGAGTTTGAAAACGTTTGCACACAAACACAACTGCATCTGAAAAACGCATCTGCGTTGCCGCTTCGGCTTTCCGAAAGCCCTCGGCTTCTGTTTTCCTCTGCTTTCAAACAGCGTTCGGGGTATTCCCCTGGGTGTGCAAACTTTTAAATGATGATTAGAAATCTGACTTTTCTAAATGAGCCAAGTTAAAAAACAACATTTTTCATACCTGCAGAAGTGGACTAGGATAAGAACGGGGAGCCTTTACATGAAAACACTCCAATAAAACTCGGATAAATGCTCAATGACAAAATGTGTTTGTCTGCAATCACGTGGAAAATGAATATGAATGAATTATTCACCTATAAACAGTCATTTGCTGTGATCAGACACAATCAGGGTGTACATTTCAGCAGCGTTTTTACTCTCCAAAGGCAGAAAGCTGCAGATCACAGCCGGTTTTACTTTGCCAACATTTAATCAAATATCCACAACCTGCAGAAAAGCATAAAAAAAGGCATTTAGGTTTATGTGAGAAATCTCAAGATTGTTGCCTGCTTCCAGCTCTTCGGATCTTATCTGGAAACTAATCATTTTAGAGAAACACAATATTCTCAAAGTGTGTTTATTGTTTTTGTTTTTTGTAATCTTTGCTATTTAAAAGCTTGCAAAAGAGCATGTAAACTTCGAAAAAACTGCATAAAAATATCTTCTTTTTTTTTCTTTCCTTTTAACGTGTCCTGTCTGTCTGTGAAGCAAGCAGAATTGATGTCTGAATGCTGGTGACAAGCCTTACAGATTTACTCTCAGGTGGAGCATCAAAGCGTCTGCTTTTAATGTCACGCCTGATACTTAAAACTTTATTGTTATTGTTGTTGAATGCTTTGTAATTCCGACCAGACACGGAGACAGAGGTGAAAGAGAAAGGAAAAGAAAAGGTGGGGAGAGAGAGAGGGGGGGGGGGTTTCCACAAAAATAAACAATAATGAACAAGAGTCTGCTTCTAGACCTGCAGAAAAAGACAAAAAAAAGCAAAAGGACAAAAAAAAGGGACACAACAACAATACAACAAGATCAAGCTATCACTGCGTCAACTTGATGAGGAAATCTATAATCAACATTGTTTAACTGAAGAATCACGATAATAAATCACAGTGCATTAAGTGCCCACCATAGTCTTAAGACATGTGTTTAACGTTCCCAAGCCCATACTTTTGAGAGCACCATGTGAGCACCTGTGTGTGTACACGCGCTTGTTTATGTAAGGTTTCTCTATAGGAGCGTCCAACAGAGAGTGTGAGGGACCACAGATCCGCCCCCTAAAGATGCGCAGGAGACGCATCTTTGTTTTTGTTTTTTGTAATCTTTGCTATTTAAAAGCGTGCAAAAGCGCATGTAAACTTCAAAAAAACTACATAAAAATATCTTCTTAACGAGGGTTACATGATCTGAAGCCGAGCCTGTAGATAGCAGTGAGTGATAATAGGAAACTTTTTACTGATTGGCTTAATGAACTGGATTGGATTGTTTACTGTGTGAAGTTCCTAGAGACGACTCTTGTCCCGATTTGGCTTTTTATAAATAAAGTTGAATTGAATTGAATAGAAAAAAAGGTTCTTTTGTACTTTCTTGCAGTGTTGGTCTTCAAATTCTGTTTTGGTTCTTTTTTAAACAGAAAAAGTTTCTCTTTACCTTGCTAACGTTTCGTTTGCGGCTGCCAACATCCTCAGAGCTGACGCTGATGGTGGTGTCACTTCCCACTCCGTTTATCCGCGGGCAGCAGAGGACGTTGTCGCCCTCTGCTGCCCGCTCTCCCCTCTCCGACGATGCAGTCCCATGCACGATCCAAGAGTAAACTCCATGGTCTCTGTTCATGGTCCCACATCCACGTCTCCTTATCTCTATAGCTTCCTTTATCCATCTCTTGTATTTTTGTTGTTCGTAAACGTAAACACATAAAAAAAAGAGCCAAAAATGGAATTTGAAAAAAAAAAAAAAGGTTTCTAGGCTGATAATTACTTGAGGCATTTTTGTTCCAGTATGTAAAAACGTTTGTCCCCTCGAGGGGCTGGTTTCATTACGAACAAGTAGGTGTCCCCCTAGTGCAGAGGTAGGAAACCCTGGTCCTAGAGAGCCACAGTCCTGCATGTTCTCCAGCCGTGCGTGAACGTGCAGCTTCTGACCCCGGCTTTCCACGGGAGCCGTCAGCAGCACGTTACTGCAGCAGCACGTCATAGCTGCTGATAGGAACCGCTGTGGTCAACAGAACCTTTTCCACCGGAGCCGTCAGCAGCGCGAGTCGGCCGCGTCTCAGGAGCAGCATGTCGCGGCCTTTATGCGCCGGTTCTATTTTCTACGCGTGACGCCTCTGAAACGGGTCAAGTTCGACATTTTTGGGGAAGGAAAGACAGGAAATCGGACGCGGAAACGGAGAGAAGCTCCCGAGATTTTCAGAATAAAGAACGTATTGCCTTCCGGTTGCTTTACTTTTAAAAAACGTTACTAACTGTGCGTCCCCGTGAGAAGTTATCACCTAGCTAGCGGTCTCCTTTGTTTTTCAGGTCCGTATTGGCGATTATAAAACAGACAGAACATAAAACACAAACCATGTTGTAGTTTTCTCCTGCTTGTTGTTGTGTTTACTGACGAAGTCACTCGTGTGACTTCGTGCTCGGTCGGTGACAGCTGCTCCCCTGCTGCTTCGCGTCTCGTGGGGAGGGCCAAGCAGCAGCTTACGCGAGCAAGACGTGCTGCTGCAGTAACGTGCTGCTGACGGCTCCCGTGGAAACCCGGGGTCAGTGACTCTATGCCACCTGCTGGGTTCCTTACATAGGAAACTTTTCACTGATTGGCTTAATGAACTGACCTGTGTTGGATTGTTTACTGTGTGAAGTGCCTTGAGACGACTCTTGTCATGATTTGGCGCTATATAAATAAAGTTGAAATGAATTTGAATTGAATTAATTGGATGAACGCACCTGATCCAGGTGATCAACAGCAGGAACAACAAAGGTGGTTGAAAAACGAGCAGGACTGCGGCTCTCTGGGACCAGGGTTGCCTACCTCTGCCCTACTGGCTGGTTCCAGGTGTATCTTCGTTCCGACTGCTTGTTGGATATCTTTGCACTCCGTCAGTCACGGGCTAATAAGCGTTAGGAAAAGTTGGACTTTTTCCACGAGACCGTAACTCGTTAACTGCCAGTCGTTTCCCGACCAGTGAAACCATTCGCTGCCAGCGATTTTCAGCGTTTGTTTTAAGTCACAGAACGCGGCGCTCTAGGATGATGTCAGCATCAAAACAAAGAGGAGACCCGCCTCTTACCACAGGAAGAATCCGTACCTTTCGAGCATTATCCGTTCTTTCGTAATCCGTTGTTGAATTGTGATCGGCAGAACCTTTTCCGGTCCATGCCAGACTTTTTTTTACAGCAGCGGCCAAAAACGATCCAACACATGGATTTTCTGCTTCCTGATCACGTGACGTGTGACGTACGTGGATGAAGATCGGCTTTAGAGCTGAGATGTTTGTTCTCACGGTGCGGGGGCTCCTTCCGACGCCCACACAGTGAAAAAAAAAAGAGCAAATGACGACTTTAGTCGTCAATAGCAGTGAATGAATTAAATCTGTTCCGTGTCTGCCGCCAAATATTTTTGGCTCCCTTTATTCTTTGAGGGCAACGGCGGTGCTGTTGATGACGTTAAAGGAAGAGGTGTTCTGACCAATCTCAAGCTTGTGGTCTTAGTCACGTTTGACGAATAGATAAAAATGTGGCCACGTCTCCGTCACCCTCCATGAGCCCATCGGAGAGCGCTTGTGCCGACGCATAATGGCGCCGAGTGTCTCTGTACCCACGCCGACAGAAGTATAAATCAGACTTAAGATGCATACGTTGTGAGTATTTGAATAACCTTCACGCCTGTTTTTTGTGTGTTTTTTAGGATGCGTTCCTGGTTGTCGCAGCCATTCTCCTCTTTGTGCTCTGCCTTTACGCCTTCTTCTACCTGAACCTGAGCACCGAGCTCAACCTAGACGTGGACACGGACTGAGAAGTGCTGCACCATGCACCAAAAGCCGTTTTCTTTGTACGAGGGGGAGCAACGAAAAGTTGCTCGTGTGTCCTAATGACTATCTGCGCAGAATAAGATGCTTTAGTCTGAAAAAAATCAACATTTTTATGCAACCTGTGCTCATTCCTTTTAACCTTTCCAGGCTATTTTTAGGTATTGTGTATTCAGAACAGAAGCTGAACCTCATTTGAGTCCTTTAATACTACTACACCCCCCCAAATAAATAAAAATATGTAAATCTTCTGCTGGCGCTCCCGTCACATGCAGACGAAACACTGAACTGACATTCCAGCGCACAGCCATCTCCTCCGGAATATCGGGAGATCACGGAGTGTGAGATTAGAATCCACAAAGCCCTCGTTCCTGATTGAACGTGTGTGCAGAATTCCGAACGACGCGGTGCAGCCTCTGCTCTCAAAGCGGCACGGAGACACACGTTCAGGATAATCACTAAAAATCATCTGCTGCTTTCATCTGAATGGAAATTACAGCTTTTGTTTTCCTGCAAGGGGCGTGCTTGTGGTTCCTTAATTCATCAAAAGCAATAGTTTTCTGTCGGGAAAGAAATTTTTACAAAGTAGATAAAAAGGCGGTAAATAAATAAAAAAAACACACGAGGCCTTGAGAGGTCTTTCATTCCTTAAGCGTTGAATTAGATTTTTTAACAGGAAGAAGTCTTAAATCTGCCTGACTGTTCCAGATCAGCTTCCTGAAATGTGAGATGGATATTTTCAAGCTTCTCAGCCTTCTCTGCTCGTTTCTCCCATAACCCCCTGACCTCTTGTAAAAGACGCCATGTCAAAGAAGCCATTATGATAAGCGCTCAGCCGTACCCTTTCATCCAGCTGCCGTACATCCAGACGCTCCTCCGACTCACTCCGAGTCACTTCCACGCGGAACAATGGAACGGCGGCTCTATTAGGCCTTCATTCATGACACCTGTTATCTAAAAGGCACCATTATCAACTTTACAACAGCCTTGACATCAGCACAATGGCGAGCTTAATGTATTTGTTCAGATCTGTGTTCGGCAAGATGAAGTGCATGAAACTTTTATTGTTTTTCTAACGATTTGTACGACTAGTGCAAAAGAAAGAGTTTTTTTATCTATGTCGCATGAATTGTCGGTTCCTCCTGCGTAATAAAACTGAACCAACCTTCCTGAGTGCGTGTGTGTGACGAGATCTTTAATGCAAACATCCTCTGCTCTTCTGGCATCACTAAAATATAAAAGTAAAAGGTTTTGATTTAAAACTTTCAGCTGAATTATTCACAGGATGTCTTGACTGACAGCGCCAGCGTGACATTAAGACAAAGCTATTAATTTAGCTAAACGATTACCGTAATTGCAGCAATTAAGTGCTGTAAAGCACACTAGCAGTTCATCAGGCAGTGTAAACTTTAGATAGAACGTACACGTTGCTGACGTTTATGTTTGATGCTTTTTATTCCTTTTATTTAACGGTCATTAAGTCCTAAAACTGAAAGATAGATAGATGGATAGATAGGTAGGTAGGTGGATGGATGGATAGGTAGACGGATGGATAGATGGGTAGATGGATGGATAGGTGGATGGATGTATGGATAGGCAGATGGATGAATGGGTAGATGGATGGATAGGTGGGTAGATGGATGGATAGGCGGATGGATAGATGGATGGATGTATGGATAGGCAGATGGATGGATGGGTAGATGGATGGATAGGTGGATGTATAGATAGATGGATAGGTGGGTAGATGGATGATGTATAGATAGATGGATAGGTGGATGGATGGATAGATAGATGGATGGATGTATAGATAAATGGATAGATAGATGGATGTTAGGTAGATGGATGGATGTATAGATAGATGGATCGATAGATGGATGTTAGGTAGATGGATCGATAGATGGATGTTAGGTAGATGGATCGATAGATGGATGTTAGGTAGATGGATAGATGGATGTTAGGTAGATGGATAGATGGATGTTAGGTAGATGGATCGATAGATAGATGGATGGGTAGATGTATGGATAGGCAGATGGATGGATGGGTAGATGGATGGATAGGTGGATGGATGTATAGATAGATGGATGTTAGGTGGATGGATGGATAGATAGATGGATGGATGTATAGATAGATGGATAGGTAAATGGATAGATGGATGTTAGGTAGATGGATCGATAGATAGATGGATGGATAGGTGGATGGATGTATGGATAGGCAGATGGATGGATGGGTAGATGGATGGATGGATAGATAGATGGATGTTAGGTGGATGGATGGATAGATAGATGGATGGATGTATAGATAGATGATAGATGGATGTTAGGTAGATGGATGGATAGATAGATGGATGGATGTATAGATAGATGGATAGGTAAATGGATAGATAGATGGATAGATGGATGTTAGGTAGATGGATCGATAGATAGATGGATGGATAGGTGGATGGATGTATGGATAGGCAGATGGATGGATGGGTAGATGGATGGATGGATAGATAGATGGATGGATGTATAGATAGATGGATAGGTAAATGGATAGATAGATGGATGTTAGGTAGATGGATCGATAGATAGATGGATGGATAGATAGATGGATGATAGTTGGATAGATAGATGGATGGATGGGTAGATGGATAGGTAGATGGATGGGTAGGTGAATGGATAGATAGATGATAGATGGATGTTAGGTAGATGGATGGATGTATAGATAGATGGATAGGTAAATGGATCGATAGATGGATGTTAGGTAGATGGATCGATAGATAGATGGATGGATAGATAGATGGATGATAGTTGGATAGATGGGTAGATGGATAGGTAGATGGATGGGTAGGTGAATGGATAGATAGATGGGTGGATGGATAGATGGGTAGGTGAATGGATGGATAGATGGATGGGTAGGTGAATGGATGGATAGATGGATGGGTAGGTGAATGGATGGATAGATGGATGGGTAGGTGAATGGATGGATAGATAAGTAGATAAGAAAAATGCCTTGCAAATCATTCTCTAGGGGATAAAAGCTCAGATGGGCCTGTTTGAAGACATAGAAGTCAGCCAGAGGAGAAAGCTTCTGACTACTTCCTGACATTTGGACATCTCATCTCTAATTGGCTAATGGCAACGTAACTACCAGCCAGTGTGTTTACATGCTCATCAGAAAACCAAACTCTTGTCCTAAATAGACCGATTCAAAATAAACGTAAAGCACGCTGGTCTTGCCGAAAGTGAACTGGTGCTAGTGGTGCTGAAGCACCCAGATAACGCGGTAGGAACCCGACATCATCTGTATGTAAACGGCTCAGTCGAGCTCGTCGCTTCTGAGACTGATCAAATCATCGCCATTGTGCATATCCTGTTTTAACTTTGCTGGCTTCACTCCCACTGGCATTTATTGTTTGTGTTGCTATGTGCTAACCAGAAGAGTGCCGACACGAAAAGGAGCATGTCGCCCCCTACTGTACCGGAGTGGAACGGGCTTCATTTGAGAATTCCGGTTTCCAACATACAAGGATAAAGGCTCCCAGTGTATTACTTTAGATCGCCTGCCTTCGATGCACCTGCAAACATACTGAGAGACTCAATTTGCAACGTTGATATTTTATCTCCACAAATAACACGAGCCCTAGAGGAGTTCTGCTGTGTGGTGGAGCTGCTAATGCTAACGTTTGCTTCTACTAGCCAAGTTCTGATGTTATCTGATGTTTCCTGGTCGCTAAACCAACAACAGTCTTCCCGTCGTGAGTCAAGACGTCCATGAATGTTAAGTGACAGTGTGATGTAGATCTGTCAGGATTTTCTGAACCAAACGTTCTTTTTTGTCTGTTTTCTATCAGAAGCTAATGCAGGAGATAGGTGTAGGAGACTACTTTCATATTCAGCCTGGATGAAAAACTCGGTGACCAATTATAATCAGAAATATTAATTAAAATTGGTTTTTTTAGTGTTCTACACACTTACAAATTGGGAGTTTAGTCTTCGTGGAGGTCCGGTGATGCTTCTGTCCCAAATCAATTGGATAAAGAACTGCCTTTCAAACCCACCCACAGGTAAGGTCTCACTTTAGAGAAATGAAATTGTGGATTTAGCAGTTAAACAAAAAGCTTCATATGGAAAAAGCTTATTTCGGACGCTAGCTTCCAAGATCTTGTTCTTTTGGCCGTGATCCACATCTCATGGCCACTGGCGAGGACTGGAACGTTGATGGAGCAGTAAATCACCTCCACTTCCTCATCACCTTTCTCAGCAGGTTAGGATGAGCTGTTGATCAGATCTCAACTCTTTCGCCAATCTGAGGCTGTTCTATTTTACGTTTTTCCTGCTAGTAAAATATTAGGATTTTTCATCATTTTTCCGTTGAACTCAATTTTAAAACCGAGCAAAACGGATCAGTGGTCTTAAACATTCATTGTCCTCGCTGGTAAAACTGATTTTAGGCATATTTTCTAAATGTCTTTTCTAATTCTGTCTCGTGTTTGTGAGTGAATGAATCCGGTAGCTGCTCCATGTGAGCCGTTAGCATTCACCTCAACAGTAATCCACTGGTTCTACCCACCAACCAGTGACAAATGAGCCAGGCGCCCGACACCCAAACTCCGCTCATTAGTCATGTAAAACATGTCACCAAGAGTAATTATGCTTTGCCCCAAACTTGCATTTGCACCATCTTACACACACACACACACACACACGAGATGTTGCTTCTCCTAAAGCCGCGGGAAACGTTGTTATATGTCGTGCACGGCTGTTTACTGAGACATGAATCATGATTATAAATGATGACGGACCAGACAGCACGTATTTAAGGCATGCAAGGTTTGGCTTCAGCGTTATTTGCTTTTGCTATGAAGACAAACATCCAATATGTCAGGTTTTCACTTTGCATCGCTGTGTGATGTGAACATGATGACTGTTAGTCTTTAGTTTTGTTTTCTTAGTAGTTTTAGCAGGTTTGGTGACATTTTTTGTGTTTGTGAATTTATAGAGCTGTGTGTGTGTGTGTGTGTGTGTGTGTGTGTGTGTGTGTGTGTGTGTGTGTGTGTGTGTGTGTGTGTGTGTGTGACCCTCCTCAATTCTCACTTGTCTGTCAGAAAGACTGATCGCTTCACTGGAGCATAGACACAGGCACAGTGCTGAATATTGAAAATACAACACACACACACACACACACACACACACACACACACACACACACACACACACACACACACACACACACACTCTTTCTCCACCCAAACTCACACTCCTGAACTCCCAGTAGTAAAATGTAAAATATAGAGAAAACCAAACTGAAGATGCTGAACGTCCTACTGCTTTCATAACCATGTCGTACTTTTTTGCACGTCTCATTCAACCGATAATGGAGTAGATGCAGTTCAAGATGGCCGCCGCAAGCATCGGCACAAGGCAAACGCAAGTGAAACGAATGCTTGGGGCCTCCACACCACCAGCGGCCCCCCAAGAGCACCAATATAGCACAATAAAGAAAATATGCTGTATTAATTTTACTAAATGTATTATTATTGCTAAATCTGAACAAGCCCTTCTTCTTGCTACGGTTGAAAAAAACGACCTGACATAAAAATAAGTCTATTGTTCCGTAAGTAACAAAAATGTAATATTTGTATCATATTCGGCCCACTTTTGATCAAAACAAAAAAAGCTTGCATTTCCCGCTATTTAATGAATAAAAAAATGTTTATTTATTCATCAGAACAGAGCTACGGTGCTTTTATTTTGGCAGTGGGTTAGATAATTAGCATTTTGAAGGATCGTCAAGAGTAAAACTCAAACACACACAACAAAATTAACAGTTTACACACGATTATGGACAATCGCAGAGAACTTAATATTATTTTATTTATATTTCTATTATAAAACAACACAATTATTAGCATTCTCCTCTAACGTTTGGAGTTTAACGGTTTGTGACGTCATGCAGTATGCAAGACCTTGCTGTTCCAAGTCCGCAGAAGATGCATTGATGCATCCTTGATATAAAGGGCGGAGCAAGAACACATCTGGAAACTTTGAGCCAACTTGTCATGATGGATGAATTAGGATTGAAACAGTCCTTAGGCCATAGTTGAGGATGTTAGTACACAAGTACAGTGTAGTACTGACAAGTATATGTATTCAGAAACGGCCCGTGTGTATATTTGTTGGTGGCTCCACCCT